ATCTGAGATCCGGTTCTCAATATTTAACCCTGTTTTCTGTGACACGTGACAAAAAGGGGGCCCTAAGCCAAGGCATCCACCGTGAAAACAGTGCTTCAATCTGAGATCCTGTTTTCAAGCTCGAACCCTGTTTTCTGTGACACGTGACAAAAAGGGGGCCCTAAGCCAAGGTGTACACCGTGAAAACAGCGTTTCAATCTGAGATCCTGTTTTGAATCTCCAACCCTGTTTTCTGTGACACGTGACATAAAGGGGGCCCTAAGCCAAGGCATCCACCGTGAAAACAGCGTTTCAATCTGAGATCCTGTTTTGAATCTCCAACCCTGTTTTCTGTGACACGTGACAAAAAGGGGGCCCTAAGCCAAGGTGTACACCGTGAAAACAGCGGTTCAATCTGAGATCCTGTTTTGAATCTCCAACCCTGTTTTCTGTGACACGTGACATAAAGGGGGCCCTAAGCCAAGACATGCACGGTGAAAACAGTGTTTCAATCTCTAATCCTGTTTTGAGGCTCCAATCCTGTTTTCTGTGACACGTGACAAAATGGGGGCCCTAAGCCAAGACATGCACGGTGAAAACAGTGTTTCAATCTGTAATCCTGATTTGAGTCTCCAATCCTGTTTTCTGTGACACGTGACAAAATGGGGGCCCTAAGCCAAGACATGCACGGTGAAAACAGTGTTTCAATCTGTAATCCTGATTTGAGTCTCCAATCCTGTTTTCTGTGACACGTGACAAAATGGGGGACCTAACCCTAACCCTCAATCTGTAATCCTGTTTTTAGTCTCCAATCCTGTTTTTTGTGACACGTGACAAAATGGGGGCCCTAAACCAAGACATGCACGGTGAAAACAGTGTTTCATTCTCTAATCCTGATTTGAGTCTCCAATCCTGTTTTCTGTGACACGTGACAAAATGGGGGCCCTAAGCCAAGACATGCACGGTGAAAACAGTGTTTCAATCTGTAATCCTGATTTGAGTCTCCAATCCTGTTTTCTGTGACACGTGACAAAATGAGGGCCCTAACCCTAACCCTATGGGGGCCGTAACCCTACGGTGAAAACAGTGTTTCAATCTCTAATCCTGATTTGAGTCTCCAACCCTGTATTCTGTGACACGTGACAAAATGGGGGCCCAGGGCAAAGACATGCACGGTGAAAACAGTGTTTCAATCTCTAATCCTGATTTGAGTCTCCAACTCTGTATTCTGTGACACGTGACAAAATGGGGGCCCTAACCCTAACCCTAACCCTAACCCTATTAACCACAAACACATGCACACACCGGTCCTTCGTCTGGCATCATGGTTTCGACCAATCACAATGCCCGTCAACCTGGCAACTTCCAAAATGGTGGTCGTTCTCGCAGCGGATGACTCATCGGTGGTGGTTCGCCTACTTCCCCCGGACCGCCTTCAGCATCTTCGGGGACCTCATCTCGTTCATCACAAGACGCTCGTGTGTCACGCTCTGTTGCCTCTAATACTTCGGTTTTATGCAACAACGACAATACTTCGGTATCTGTCGCGCCGTCACACGCTGTTGCGTCTATCACTTCGGTCCTACGCAACGATAACCACACTTCGGTGAATGTTATCCCTTCTGGTACTTCGGTGCCGCACAATAACAACCATACTTCGGTACCCGTTGTTTCCCCCAGTGTCGATCAGGTCGGTATCCAGACAAATGCTCTCGTCCCACCTTCTACATCGCACTTATCATCTGCCACCTCTGCGTCTCTGCCTCTTCGGGCTGGCTCTCCGTCAGAAATTAACCAGTCTGGCGCGAGTGCTGTCTTGAGGTGCGGGAACAGAACCGTAGGACCTTCGGGGCCATCGAGTACCGCTCGTTTGTCGGGCACCGTTCGTTCGCTCCCCCCGTCGTCTGCAGATCAGACCGGCCGTAGCCATGCGCTTTGGACGATTGAAGAGGAATCGCCTGAATTGGTTACCTCGGGTGAATCTTCGGATACGCTCAACTCGTCTGTGCTCGCTTCCGTTGAGGGTTCGCCCTCGATTGTTGCACCGGTAGCTAACTTGACTGGTTCCGACCGGCAAGTTACAGGGTCAAATTCGCCTGGCTTCGAATCGCGTTGTTCTCTTGGTCCTGACCACCGAACATCATCAGATTCCGCCACGAGATATTTCGACCATGGATCGTCTTCGGACGCTCCATCCCTTCCGACGCACGCTCGCCCCACGGCGCCCGATACCAGGCCGCCGCGACCGACGTCGACAGTGTTGACACCACCGCTTCGGGAGGACCCTCCCGGAGTGACCTCCGAACAGCCGGCGGTCTCGCGTACCTTGTCACGGAGGAATGGCCAGGAGCACCACGCCCGGTTTGGTTCTTTAACCGACCCGGCCTTGGCGGCCGTTTCTAGCGAAAGCAATCTGTTGAATGACACCTTACGAGGCGTTTCTTCAGGTTTAGAATTGGGGCGCACCCAACGTCATGTCGCTGGCCCAATTATTGCGACCAATCCGGCTCCGGCCGATTCTTCGCCGGTCTTTGGCATGTCCGAGACCGTCCCCATGGACGTTCACGCCGTAAATTACAATGCGGGCGTTTTGGCTGCCTCCGTTTCGGCTACACCAGCTTCGGCTGCCACCTCAGCTTCGGCTGATCGCACTCCAGGTGTTTCGACTCCTGCAGTTCCCGCTGTCTTCGACCCGTCTCACGAGTATTGTACTCCTGACATGGTCTTCTTTTGGCAGCCCCCCTCTCCCTTCTCCCAATGGACCCTGTCGACTTTTGTGGTCGATGGAGTGGTATACTCGTGTGCTGAGCAGTTTTTCGCTGCGGAAAAAGCTCGTCTTTTCGAAGACCATTGCGCTTTACAAAACATCATGCGCGTGTCCGATCCTGCCTTACACAAGAAGTTTGGCCGAGGTGTCCGTGGTTTCGACCCATCACTTTGGGAACAGGAGCGCGAAAATATTGTGCTCACTGGCTCTTACGCAAAATTTAGTCAAAACTCCGAGTTGCGCGAGCATCTTCTCGGATCTGGCGACAAAATCCTTGCCGAAGCTAGTCCCTACGACCGTATTTGGGGCATTGGCCTTCAAGCCGATGATCCTGACGCTCTATCCACCTCTCGATGGCGTGGCCTCAATTTGTTGGGCAACGCCCTTCAACGAGTACGCAGTCTTTTGCGATGCAATGCCCCGCCGCCCGAGCGCAGCTCTCGTTTGCTGCCCCCCAACGACCAAGTTTCGACGACGTCTCAACATAACGCGGTTTATGAAGTTAGCCCTTCTACACACCAGCGTCTTCGGATGGCCTCAACCCCTCCGTTGACTGAACGATTCGCGTCGTTTTCACAATACGCTGCGAATGTTCCATCGGATCATGACACCGCTGTTTGGGCCGTGTTTTCCGGGTGCCCTCAGCCATCCTCTTCTTCTTTGCTTCCTGAGCAAGGTCCGGATTTGGTTGATGGTGTTGTTACCATCGATGATGACTCTTTCACCACCCAAATCCTCACTCACAGTGGTTCAGCTTCTGTTCAGTTTGGATGTGTTGCTCTTTTAGACACGGGTTCCCCGCAGTCTTTTATTAGTGCATCTGCGTGGGAATCCATGAAAGCCGCTTCGGCCGCTTCGTCGTTGTCTGAGAAACAAACCCAACCTCGCTGTTGGGGAGGTTTCGGCGAATCTGCTCCACTTCAAACTTCGACTATTGTCCGTTTGAGCGTGCAGTTTCTTCGCAAGCGCCTTCCTACTTCCTCTCTCGCTGTTTGGGCGTACGTTGTTCCCGATGGTGTTATGCATCATGACGTGCTCCTTGGGAGAGACAGTTGGATGCGGTTTAGCGACCGCTCTTACCGCACTTTGCGTGCCAAACGCCCTGGTGACCGTGTTTTTGGTGAGCTTACCCTGGCTCAGCATAGCAGTTGCGGTGCCACCGCATTTGCTCACGATTTGTCTTCCACAGATGGTAACTACCAGCTTCGCTATGCTGGAAAACATTCCGTCCAACTTCACCCTGAACATAGCCTTGTTCCGGTTAATTTGGTACGCAGCGATGGCTCTCCAGCCCTCGTGGGTAACTATCTCGTGGATATGCTTCCACAATGTGCTATGTTTTCTTCCGAGGAACACTTTGTGCAAAATGGTTGCCAACGACTCCCGCTCGCGGGTATCTCTTCACTCGAACCAGGCGACGTTCTGGGTACAGCTTCGGCTCCCCTTCTTCGCGTGCCTCTCAGTGCTGTTTCTCGCCACAGTTTGAGCGATGGTCTTCAATCTGCGGCTCAAGATCCCACCACTGCTTCGGGCAGCTGGGTTCCGGGTCCTGTTTCGACAGATGGCATTGATTCGTCTGCCACGCATCGCATTGATGACCCCTTCGTGTATAATTTGCATGAGCGACCCACGCCGTCGCAAAGCGGCAAAGAGGACCCTGGTTCTGCCAGTGCTTCTCTTTCGTCGCCTCCGCCTGCTCTTCTCGAGCGGTTGACGTCTGAACAACGTCAGAGTTTTTCCCGCGTGTGGGATAAGCTCCCCTGCCATCTCCGTGAGATTTCCTTCGATCTCCATGGTCCGGGTTGGACTCCAGATGTCATCACTCAGCTTGGTAACGTCTTGTGCGACTATCATGATGTCTTCTCGAGTTCCCCCACCGATTTTGGATCTTGTTCGCTTTTTCCTTTCAAGCTTACAGTTACTCCGGGCAGTGCACCCGTCACATCTCGTCCATACCGCGTTAACCCCCCGGTGGCGGAACAAGTTGACGCGATCCTTGATCAATACCTTGCGGCTGGTCTGATCCAACATTCGACCTCGCCCTACTCGAGTCCTTTGGTAGTCATACCGAAGAAATCTGGTGGTGTTCGCATCACTGTCAACTATCGCAAGCTCAACAAGCTTTGTGCTTTGAGCCAGCTTCCGATTCCTCGAGTTGATGATACTTTGGACAAGTTGTTGAAAGGGCGAATTTATTCCCTTTTCGACATGAAGTCTTCATTCCACCAAATCACGGTTCACCGTGATACAATCTCTTTGACGGCATTCGTGACGTCTTCCGGGCTTTTTGAGTGGTTGAAGATGCCTCAGGGCAGTTCTGCTGCCCCTGGGTGGTTTTGCAAGGTGGTCAACGAAGTCATCAAAAATCTCCACGGTGTTGCATCGTACTTGGATGATTTGATCGTTTTCGACGACAACCCTGCTTCTCATGTTGATACCATGCGCGCTCTGTTTGAACGCTTGCGCACACACAACTTGAAACTCACCCCACCGAAGGCCACCATTGGCACTACCGAAGCGGATTTCCTCGGCCACACCATATTCCCTGACGGTGTTCGGCCTAACGGGGCCAAGGTTGCGGCCCTCACCAAAATGCCCATGCCTAAGGATGTTAAACAACTTCGCTCTCTTCTCGGCGGCCTCAGCTACTACCGCAAGTTCCTTCCCAACATGGCTACGCGAATTCGACCTCTGACCACTCTTCTCAAGAAGCAGGCGACGTTTGCCTTCACCCTTGCCATGGAGCAAGCTGTTCGCGTCCTGCTGTCTGAGTTGGCCAACCCTCCTGTCTTGGTTTATCCAGATTGGGATGCCGTTACGGACGGCTCGCGACCTTTTCGCCTCTACTGTGATGCTAGTCGCGATGGGTTCGGCGGGACTCTCGAACAAGAACAGCCGGATGGCTCCATCCGGCCCATCGTTTTCATCAGCCGAGCTACTTTGGACTCCGAACGTCATTGGACTCCCCTCGACCTCGAGGCGGGTAGCATCGTATGGTGCATCAAACGACTTCGCGGTTATTTGTGGGGCACGAAATTTCGCATTTTTACCGACCACAAATCTCTTGAGCATTTTGCCAAGGTGGGGGAGAACAATGCCCGCGTTCAGCGTTGGCTTGAATTTCTTACCGCCTACAATTACACTCTCGAGTACCGCAAGGGTTCCGCAAATGGCAACGCTGATTTCCTCTCTCGCCTTCCGATCGATGCGGCGGAATGTGACCGATCTGGTCGCAGTCGCTTGACACCGGATGACGATGAGGAGAGCGTATTCTTCATCCGTTCTTGTGGCCTTACGCCTTCTGGCCATCGCGCCATGGGTGTTGGCTTGGGTGGGCTCGTCCCCACTTCCCCGACTTCGGTCTTGGGTGGGCTGGCCCCCTCTACAGATGATTTTGTCGACTTCCGTCGGCATGGTCCACGTCTCTCGCCGTCAGGCCTTTCGTCTTCGTCTGGCATCTGGAACATTGCACCCTGGCCGTCCATCAACTCCCGCGGGTTGTCTCCTTCGCTACGACGCTTGGGTGACAGGACCCTCGATTGGTCTGGCTCCTTACATTCTTCGGTGGAGGAGATTTTGGCTCTCGAGCCCGAGTCTTCGCCGGCCGCCTCGCCGACTGCAGCATCACGACGGACTCTCGACCCTACTCAACTGATTTCCACGCGAACTCGCCGTCGCACGGCGGTTGTGGCAGGCACGCCCCTCCCGCCCGTGGATTACGGTTTCTCCGAGGACCCGCCTGCTCCTACTCGGATTTCCGCTTCGCCCAGATCGTTTCGATGTTCCCGCCTGCACAATCAGCATCGACGGCGCCCCCCGTTTTGACCAGGTTGGTTTCGGCTCCTGGTGCTGACACTTCGATCCCAGACCTCCATACGCCTCTGGCTCGTGGAAGGGATCTTGCGTCTTCGACGCATCCTGCAACTTCGGTTGCTCCTGCCCAGCAGTCTTCTGCTGCTCCCGATTCTTCGGAGTCTTCGACGCGTTTGGTTTCGACCATTTGTACGCCTTCGTCTTCGGTTTCCGCTGCTACTCTGCCTTCGGGTGGCTTGCAGCCGGAGCCTCAGGAATCGGCCCCCTCTTCTATCGAGGCGGCTTTACATTCCTCGGCAGATTTAGCCTTCCGGGCGTCTGTCGAACGTTTCTCGCATGCTGATTGGGCTCGCGAGCAACGTAACGAACCTGTTTGTGATGCAGCTATTCGTTTCATCCTTCTGCGTCGGCCTTCGGCTCTCCCTCCGGATTTCCTGGATCATCTTCCGTCCGCTCGTCGACCTCCTCTGTCGGAGATTCGTGACCTGTCTAACAAAGGCCGGTTACATGTTGGCGATGATGGTTTGGTCTTGCTTGTTCGCAAGCAAACAGCGCCCCCGTCGTCTACGACCACACGTCCTGGCGGGCGTGCTGCTCGCCTTCTCAACGACGAACCCATTCGGATTTATGTTCCCATGCTCATGCGTCCGTGGATCATGCAAGCCTGTCACGCTGATGCATCCTGCCACCTCGGTGCCGCTCGCACGCTTAGCATGCTGGAACGTTTTTATTGGTGGGTTGGCATGAGTGTTTGCACGAAGTGGTGGGTACGGCATTGTTTGCGATGCCAAGCTCGCAAGTCATCTCGTCAAACGCCTCGATGGCCTACTTTGTGCCTTCCGCTGCCTTCGGGCCCTGGTGTATCGGTGAGCGTCGATTATTTCGGTCCCCTCCCGTTGACACCGCGCGGAAACACATATATTCTGCTTTTCACTGACCGTTTCAGCCGCCGTGCTGACATGTACGCGGTTACGGCTGCAGAATTCACCGCCGAAGGCACCGCTGACGTACTTGTCAATCGGTATATCCCTTTATGGGGTTGCCCTTTGAGTCTCTTGTCTGATAATGGCTCTCAGTTTTGTTCTAAACTGTCGCAGGCTGTATACGCCCGTCTGGCTATACGCAAAGTGGCTACCAGCTCTTACCATCCCAACGGCAATGGGGGTGTGGAGCGCGTAAATCACACTATGGCTCAGATGTTGGCTATGGTCGTCAATGAGAGGCAAGATGATTGGGACATTCATCTGCCGCACGTTGAGTTTGCCTACAACAATTCGGTTAGTGCCGCTACTGGTTTGGCGCCCAACGAGGTGCATATGAACCGACTGCCACGCATGCCGATGACGGTTTTTGAGCATCCATATGCTCGAGGCCACCAAAGCTGGCATCGCGATCAACTTGAGTATTGCGATCTTGCTGCTGATCGCCAACGTCGTTCTTACGATTTAGTTTGCGAACAGCACAACCTGTCCGTTTCGAGGATTGAGCGGCGTAACTCCGCTCTATCGGATGCGTTGCGCAAGGTCCCCTCATACACCGTCGGTGGATGGGTTTGGGTGTACAACACCGAATCTACCATTCGCCAAGGTGTTCGTTCAGGCACGGACGACAAGGTCCTCAAGGCTAAGTTGTCTTTCCTGTGGACTGGTCCGTTCAAGATCTTGGCCGTGGGTCCGTGTCCTGACGCTCCCGACGGTTGTCCTCTGGCTTCCAAGTTACTGTATTTGGATCTTCCATCGGATCTGCCGGGTCCGGACTCGAAAAACCGTGTGTCAGTTGCGCGTTGCAAGCCTTGCGCTAATCCGCATGACACTGAAGACTTGCCTCGGTTCCTGCCTGCCGGCCTTACACCGTATGTGCTAAACTCCTATGCGAATAAATCTCCTCCCTACCATGTTACGGAAGACGACGTGTCGACTCCGGTCGAACGTCTCGAGGTTGACCGCATTAGTGGCCATCAGTCTGTTCGTGGCCGTGGTGGCACCATCGCTGTTTTATACCAAACGCATTGGAAAGGTCTTCTTCGTCCTTCTTGGGAACGTGAGATGGACCTCCAGCATTCCAAGCCCCACATTCTCCGGTACTGGACGGGTTCGCCTGATCAACATCGCCAAACGAATCGTCGCTATCGGGCGATGCGTATTGGTGCGGCCACCCGCGAGATGGCGCGCGCTAAAGGGGAGCGAGCTTTGCCTTCGGGTTATTCGCTCGTCTCTTGTTCAACTTGGGACCGTCGCTTCGCCAATACTCCGCTACCTGCAGGCGCCTTCTTCTGGTACAAAGCTCGCGATGGATTCTGGTGGTTGGGCAAGATTACTGGACCGCCTCTACCGTCCGACTTCTACGTCGTCCGCTTCTTGGACGATCCTGGCCCTGTCAAGCTCGCCCTTCCTGATGTTCGCTACTCCACCGCTGAAACCGCCGTCTCCGGATCCTGGTGCCTCCAAGTTCACAGCGGCAGTGCCCTTTTTAAGGGGATCCTTCGCAACGTCGACATGTCGCGTGGTGACCCCGGGACTGATTCGTTGCCTGATAACGTTGCGCGCCCCCATTAAGACGACATGCTAGTTGTCTTGGCTTTCTGTTGTTTTCAGCGTTGTTTGGGTTGCTTTTTAGCCTTGGTTGGTTTTCGCTTTCTCCTCGCTTTATGCCTTTAGCATTTGGCCACAACCTGTAGGTGTTTCGCGCCCATTGTTGCCCCTTCTACACTGCCGTGGCGACTGCGTGAATGGTGTATCTGATCGTTTTCTTACGATACCGGTCTTGTTGTGGTTCCTACAGTGATCCTTTCTTTTTTGTCGTTTTGACGACCTTTGTTTTTCTTTTCTGTTTTTCTTCCTTCTTTGTGTTTTCCTTTCTTTGGTTCCGACCTTCTTCCGGTCGTCGTAGGCTTTTCTTAGCCCCGTCAGTTCCTTCCTGTCTGTGTCTTTTTGTCGTTTTAGAAGTCAAACGATGGTCTTGCGACTCATCGAGTGAGAGGTGTGGGAGGGTGAATTGTGCTGTTTTGGAGCTCCACATCCTCGATACTTTCATTTAGAGACTCGACAATTGCTTGTCAAGACTCGAGGTTTTACAGTATCTGCGTATGAGAACCTCCAGGGTGGGCTAGTGTTATAGGATTCAGATGTGTAGACGGAACATAGAAGAGCTTGGTTCCTTCTAGAAGGCGCGGAGAGATGTAGCTCTCCGCGGAAGGATAAAAAGCAGGGGACAGGATCTAGTAGCCCCTGCTTGTGCAGAGGATCATGTGCCCCTTTGTGTCATTCCTACCGATACCCAAGGCAACAGCTACTGCTGCTGCTGTTCTACAAGAGTAACAACAAGTGAGTTCTTCTTCACGGGTCAACCAGACTTCATCACGCGTGCATACCACTACATCTTTACAAAATGGACTGCAGAACGTGAGCAGCATTATTTCGCCGACAACGCCTCCAATATCTGAAATCGAAGCGACGAAGATTACTCTAGAGTGGTGGACGCAGCTGTTTCGGTGCACGCGTGTTTTTGTAACCTGTGTCGAATCCCCCCCCCCCCTCGCGCCCGCTCTGCTCCCCCAGGTCCGCCTGCCATCCCCGCCTCTGTCGGACCGGCCCCTGCACCCGCCGTTTCCACACCCGCCGCCGGAGCGGCTGCTGCTGCCACCTCCGACGCCACTACCGTCTCTGACCCTGTCCTGGAGATCGCTGATCTTAAGCTACGGTTGATCCAATCGAAACTCCGCGAGCAGCAACGCAGCAGACACAGCACTCGGAAGCCGAAGCATCCCGCTGACTCATCCGGTGGCTCTGGTTTTGCCGGTGGTACAGCTGCCACCGATCCTGCTTCTGCCGCTCCCGCTCGTGCCGCGTCGGGAGCTTCCGCGCCGGATGCAGCTAATCGACGTTTTACTCCTGGCTCCGCCCCTGCCCCTGCTCGTGCTGCTGCCGCCGCTCCCGCTCCTGCCGCGCCGGATGCTGCCGCTACTCCTCCTGCCTCCGCCGCCACGGCCACCACCCCCGCCGCTTCTGCTGACGCAAGCGGCACTGAGCCCACCTTCGAACAAGGTGAACAAGAGGGTACCCGATATGAATTTCGTGTTTTGGGCATTACCATGATAGGTCGTCTTACTCATGTTTATGACTGACCCGCGAGTTCACCCTTTCATGTTCAGAGGCTGGCGCCGCAGCCCTTGGTCGCACCGGTTGCACTGTACACATGTTCCTTCAACGTCCGGTGACAGTTCTTTGGAGCAAATCCACGCTTCCGGAGGCATTCTTGGTGTGCGCAACCCATACACGCGAGATAAAAAAATGGCTCGACAGCACGAGGGACGCCGGTGCGTGTGCCACCTCACACCAAAGGAAACAACGCCGCCATCGTTCAAGTGTTTAATCAACCACGCCGATGATCACTGACGTATGCCACTCTTCCCTCCTCTCTGTCTCAATTTATACTTTTACCAGGTGATGCCGTCGGTGGTGGCGATCCTGCCGACTCTTCTGGAGCCGCCGCCCCCGCCCCGCTACCTGGTTCGGCTGATGGAGCCGGTGGAAAGGGTTCGGCTGCATTAGGTAATATACCATGTTGTTCATTGTCACAGTTTCCAGTTGTCCATGCAACACCTCATCACGCTGTTGGTTTCCTTTTGGTGTTCCACAAACAAGAGTTTTCCCTCCTTTTGACTTCCTCGGCCTGCACAGGACCTACGGTCACCACATCTTTTCAAATGCCGTTCAGCATACTGTAAATGTCGGTCCGGGCGTGCAAGTGGTGACGTGTTCCCTTCCACACGGGTTGCCGGATGTTTACGTGTATTTTTCGTTTTTTGGCGCTGAAAATCTCAGGTGCGACAGACTCTCCCAGTGGTGAACCTCCCGCTGGCGCGTCTACGGAGGTGCGTTCATCAAGCACTCGACATTCATTCGGGGAAAGATTCGGGGAAAGAGAAAGTCACCAGACTCAGCGATGATCAAATGATATTCGTGCATGTAAAACGTGAAATTTGAAGTCATTGGGATGGAAAAACGTGAAAGGGGACGACTTGATCAACTTTTTCTGAATAACGGGGAGTTTGAATCAGAAGAGAGAAAAGTTGCCGCGGGGGGAAAAAATCTGTCCGAAGTCTTGGAATGGAGGGAAAGAATTTTTTTGCCAGTCAATGTGCGGGTGTCAATCTTGTGTGCGAAGACCCGATGTTGAACCAAAAATACGTGTCGTACTGCACGAAATTTTTGCAAGATGCCAGCGAGACGAATTGATAAGTCGAGTATGAGTGCAGCAATTTATCAATTTGTTTGGTGATGGCCGTGTGGCTGAGAGCGACAAGTCGCGTAATAGGGTCGTGTTAAGGAGGACCCGATTCGCAGGGTATCCGTTGATTGACTTTTACCAGAATCGGTACACCTTCGCATATGGCGTCAGCTGGATACTGGTTCGAATCTCCTTGGGTGCACGTTTTTTCTCCTGACTTGGACATTTTCCCATGGACACAATTTGTGTCAGTCCTGAGAACACCTCTTGGAATCGATCCTATAAAGAACCTTGTGACACTTCCATCGAATTACCTGTCCTGGCCACAAGAGGTTCCCAGTTGAGGGTAAATTCTGTGGGTGGAGAGTGTTAAGGAGGACCCGATTCGCAGGGTATCCGTCGATTGACTTTTACCAGAATCGGTACACCTTCGCAGTCGTGTTACGGAAATTGAGTCAGATGGTAGAGTTTGCGGATGATGACGCGTTGCGGGTGTATTTTTGGCCTTTACCACGCCGTCTCTGGTAAATTTAACTCCCTTGTACTTTTTCGGCGTCAAGCGCCTGGTCACTGACCTTGCTTTTGGCCGTTTTCGAGAGAAGGGGTTCAACTTCAACAAACTCAACCAGGAAACGACGGACAACATCGCCCTTATAACAGGCCTTTGTCTGTCTCGATAGGGTTAGGGTCTCTTCGATGTAGAGTGTGTGTCAAGTGGATGTTTTGATTTTTTGGCTCCGTGAATAGCGCGTCAACTTCCTCAGCGTCGTAGGCCGTCGGACCTGAGTGGAAGAATGCGAGGAAGCGGAACATGGAAAGGTTCGTGATATACGAGGCCGAATGATGCAAAAAACTGCTGCACCGGGTCGCGCGCGAGATGCCCGACCGCCCGATTAACCGCGACTTTGTCCAAGCAGGCCGGCTGCCCAACTACCGCAATGACCGCGCGATACGTCCTGTCGATTTGGGAAATAGCGTGATAAGGATGAGCAAATAGACACGCATTGGTGTGTCAACAGCAGTAGCAGCAACGCGGAGAGCGGCAGCTGCTGGGTCCAAACCCACAGCAGCGCTGTTGACACACCAATGCACGGTGTCCCCTGAGGCCGCTGGTACAGAGAAACACGTATGTCAAGAATACACGATGCGTTCGGGCCCCAACCTTACTGGTTCACTTGACTGCTGTGCGGAAACAACACCTGGCAAGGCGGCAAGGCGGGGAACAATACTCCAACAAGTTGCAATTAATTCAAGAAGCGGGTACGTCTTGGTGGATACTCCAACAGCTGCAATTAATTCAAGGCCAAGATCTTGTAAGTGTGCAGATCTCGCACGACCCAGCAAGGCAAGGCGGGGTACAAGCGGGTACATACTCCAACAGCTACTCCAACAGCTGCAATTAAGGCGGGGAGATCTTCGGTCTAATGCGCCCGAACACTGGTTGGCGAAGTTCGTGGCAGCAGTTTGCAGCGGTCCGAACTGCAAGCAGAAGCAGCAGCAAGGCAAAAGCGCTTATCAACGGTCCACCGCAAAGTTTTTAGAGTCAATATGTAATAAACAACCGTGATAAACAACCGTAAACCGTAACCGTAAACCGTAACTGTAAACCGTAAGCCGTAAACTGTAAACCGTAAACAACCGTAAACAACCGTAAGCCGTAGACCGTACACCGTACACCGTAACCTTAAACCGTAAACCGTACCCGTAGACCTTCAACCGTTAACCGTTAACCGTAACCACGAACGGTCAACAAACAAAGTGGTTTGGGACTTCGTTAAGTCCTTCCGGCCATTGACCCAAGTGTGACATCCTTTTTCTTTTACCACTTCCTGTCGAAACTTCCTGTCGAATGGGCTGTCGAAAGGGCTGTCGAAAGGTCGAACTGCTCTAAGTGGTGCTAGCGCCCGCGGTGTAACCCTAACCCTCAGTTGTCTAGAAGGACTTACACGTCTCTTGGTGCACGTTTCGGAGGCTGACGGAGAAGCCCAAGTTTCTAGGGCAACGTGCCAGGGACCTTCATGTGTGGGAGTTGATAGACTTCGTAGCCTGGTGTTTCGAGTCTGAGGGTAATCTAGCGAGTACAATATCCGGAAAAATCATGGCTGTGCAACATTTTCATCTTGTAGGCTGGAAGCGTCGGTCGAGCTAGACTAGTCGTCTCCGATGTTGAAATGTGCGCTAAGGGGGATGGCGAGGAACCACGTGGCTTTGGGGACGGTACGCCGTGTGCGCCTGCCTGTGTCTTGGCGTATGCCGCTGGGCGGGGAAAGCCCAAGGCAGAACTGGGGGGAAGGGGGCAGAGTGATGTGGCTGTGTCTGTGCCTGTCCTATCTCTTCATCACACGGTCTGATGAGGTGTTCGCGAATGACGCGGGCAGGGTGCATGAGGCACACCGTCTTACAAGGGCGGACAAAGCATTGTTTGCCGGCGGGACGCAACTAGACTTTAGTCACTATCGTAGAGCAGACCGTGTCGAAATGAGGTTTAGAGGGCATAGGGCCGATCAAGAGCAGAAAGGCAACATACGGGTTCGTACGCGAGACGAAGTCACCGGACCGCAGTCAGGTGTGAGAGCACGCGGCGGCGTGGTGGCTCTTGTGGTGGAGCTATTGTCGTGTCATGCGACGTTGCCTGGCTCCGCTCCGTTGGCTTCGTACCGTAGTGGAAGAGCAGTGAGAGTCGTGAGGTATAGTGCTGCCCTCCGTGCAGTCAGAGAAGTGGTAGCGAAGTCGGGGCGTAACCCCCGGGAGTACGCGTTGCACTCGTTGCGAATTGGAGGCGCGACGGCTCTTGCATCGGGCGGAGACATCGCAGAACGAGTGATTCAGAGAGAAGGAAAGTGGAGGTCGAATGCCTACAAGCCGTATGCGCGAAACAATGTAGAGGATTCGCGGCGAGTGTCACGGAACTTACAGACGGCAGCAGGATAGTATCGAGACAGCCGGGGGAGGGGACCGTATGGGGAACGCATAGTTGACTTATTCGGTAATCGTCCAGAAACTGACCTCGATGTGGGTGTTGTAGAATGGTGTGTACCATTTGAGGACTTGGTCAGTTTTGGGACTCCTGCGGTTGCAGTCGTAGTCCCCCGGCTAGTATTTGTGGGGAGAGAGATGGATTTGTAACAGTTGACGCCGGCCTTCGCAGCTAACGCGGCCGGAGAGACGATGAGCGTTTCGTGCGTCTCTCTCCCCAACACGTAGCCTAGAAACCGAAGAAATACTGAAGCAATTCGAAAGAAAACAAAATAAACCTTTTGAAGAAAACAAAATAAACCTTTTTTTTTACCACTTCCTGTCGAAACTTCCTGTCGAAAGGGCTGTAGTAAGGGCTGTAGAAAGGTCGAACTGCTCTAAGTGGTGCTAGCGCCCGCGGTGTGCCCGCGGTGTGCCTGCCCGGTCCGTCATTCACAAAGTCCATGATTTTTACGACTCCGTAACTCCGTGAATGGAGCAAGCACGAAAACCAAACTGCTTGATCTTCTCGCGAAAACGTGATAGAAGTCGTCGACACGCCTCCCTGCATTTTTTTTAAAGGAAAGATTCGGAACCTTCTCTGTGACTTTTTCTTCTGATAGGAATGGGCCTATGAGCCAACGTTCTGCAGGCGCTTTTCGCGACGCGACGAAGGTGTCCAACAAAATTGTTCACCAAAATTTGTGCGGTTAGACTTCCGCTCACCCACGCGAATCTGCGAAGCTGATACAACACGTAAACCCTCTCCAGCATCAATTGTGGGAAGGCTGACTTGTGATCGCCGATATCTCGACGAATATCTCGACGAATACTTGTAACGAGTTGCCTCATGAATGATATCTGGGAGGAGGCGATACCACGGGCTGTAGGGCAGTTCCAGAGTTTAGGGGCCGTGAGGTGCCGAATGCGCCGGGAAAAAAGGTGGATTTTGCCGTCATGGAACGGCCGGGTCAACGGCCGGGTCAAGGGCCAGGATCGGTTACTTCAGAGTTCGGGTTTTTTTACCGCCAAGGATTTCGTTATCCACCGATAAATTTCCGTAGTAGCAAGGTCATTCCGCGGGAGGTGGCTTTATGCTCCATCTTCCGCCAGTCCCGTGCACAAAACGTCCGTCGTCCCACATATAACGAGCGTGCACCAAAAGTGTTGCTCACTAACTTTGCTCGCTGCAGAAAAAGTTTGCAACCTCTTTTTTTCTTTTTTTGCAAACACGCGCCAAAAAGAACGCAAAACACGCACGAAGGCGTTGTTTTTAGGTCCCAACGGAAAGATGACGAAGGCCGTAGACCACAGACCTCAGCCAGACACTGCAGATAGAGACCTCTGTGCTCTCCCAACACCATCGAAATCCCCCCCCCCCCCAACCCCACCCCTAAGCAAGCTGCTGGAATTGGTGCCAAGCAAGGCATGGAGATATCGCACATCGGGCGCGTGACATT